GTACAGAAATAAAGCTCTGAAGACCTCAGTTTCTTTCTTTATAAAAATTACCTGAGAGTTTAAGGGATGTGAATTAAACCAGTATCTTGAATGAAGTTATAAGAATGAATTTCTTTAATTTTGAACACATTGATATAAACACTTTTAAATTCCTTCCTTTTCTTGTAATACCCACTAGACTTTGGGGGGCGGTATTAGGGATCAAACTCAGAACCTCACGCTTCCAGGAAGACTTTATGCCACTGAGCTAAACCCCCAGCCCCCCACTAGACTTAATGCTCCCTTTTTATAGACCCACCTAGAATCTCCCTCCTCAAAAAAAGTTCATTAATGGAAATTTTTGAACAAAGTCAAGAAGAAAATATATAAAAATGGAAAAAGGTTACAGGTAAGTAAAAGTTTGATTTTTAACAGTTTTAAAATTCTATCTTTGGACTCATTATCAGTAATGTCTATGGGGGCATGATACTGATTAATGTTTATAGACCTACAGGAAAAGATGCCTAAATGTTGAGAAAAAAGTTATGAGAGAAATAAAATATATAGGTCACATTAATAATAATAAATTGATAGTAAACTGTGGTGTCAACTTGAGTAAGAAATGCCTAGCAGGACAGCACGGCACAGTTACAGATGTGTCTTGGATGATGTACTTCCTCAAGAGGGAGACCCACCAGCCAAAGGCTCATAGAAGGAAAAGGAAAAGCAGGAGAAAGGCTTGCTACTTGCTTCTTGCCTTTGGAACGTCAGTCTGTAGGCTTCCAGCACAGACTCTTCAGTGTTCCAGAGCCTCTTTTACCTGCCAACACGGGCCCTTCAGCTTCCTGAGGTGCAGGGGACTCTGCAGTGAGCTCCAGGCCTCAACTTTTGACTCGATCCTCCAGCTCTCCAGCACCTACACAGCTTTTCTCCTACTCCTACTCTACAGGCAGCCACGGTAAGCCTCCCTTGTGTATCCTTCATAGATCATATGCATATACATATATATATATACATTTTATATACTTTATATAAATATAAAAAATATTAGAGATATTAAATCTGTTCCCCTAGCAAAGCCTAATTGATACAATAAATAATTTTTATACTTTTATTTTTATATTTCTGTAGTAATTTACTGTAGCTCAGATACTGGGGATTAGGAAATAATTAAAAAGGAAAAGTAAGTGGGGCACGGTGTATCCTGGGAGGCCGAGACTGGAGGATAACCAGTTTACGCCCACCCTGGGCAACTCCACAAGACTCTGTCTCAAAATAAAGCAAAACTCTGAGTTCAATCTAAAGGAAAGGGAAGGGAAGGAAAGGGAAAGGAAGGACACAGAGAAGGAGACCAGAAAGGAGGGGAAGAGCAGGAAAGTGAGGGGAAGGGATGGGAGGCCAGGAGAGAGGAGAAGAGAAAGGAAGAAAGGAAAAGGGAAATTCAAGACTTCATAAAATTTTCCCATTCTAATACAGTGTACCTAAAAAGCAACAGAAGTCAGGTACAGACAGCCAATAATTCCTACATTAAACATATACAACCTAGCAATGTCTCCAAGTGAAATTAGCCCTACTAATGCAGGGAGTTATTCCACAAAAATTACTGTACAGTTTAGTAATTCAGAAAGTAGTTGTATAAAATCGTAATTATGGTATTAAATATTATTACACATTAGCCCTAAGAGAACATGAAATAGCTGCCTAACTGCCATATATTCTTTAAGTTTATGATTTTTATAAATTATTCCTTGAGAAATAATTTCCCCTAAATAATCTTTTATTTATTATTCCATAATAACATCTCTCTTGGGAAAAATTCTTTTTATTTGTTTATTTATTTGTTGTTTTGATACTGGGCATTGAACTCACAACCTCACATATCAGGCAAGCATTTGAACTGCTGAGCTAAATTCTCAGCCCAAAAATTTTTGAAATTAACATAAAATTAAAACCTATTTTTATACCAATAGGTTCTATCATTCTAGTGAAATGGAGCTCATTTGGACTTGTGTCTTTCTGGAAGGGGCAGTTAGAAAAAACAAAGGGAAAAAATATCTGGTATCATTATCACTTGAATATTGAACCCTATGTTTCTATGTAGGTTTATGTTAAAGAGACTTTCTTTCTTTCTTTTTCTTTCTTTTTTTGTCTTTTTAAGATATGCTTTCTAAGAACTGCTATGCAATTTTGGCTGCCTCTGAGCTCACTCTGTAGCCCAGGCTGGTCTCCAACTTGCAACAATCCTCTGCCTCAGATTTCCAATTGCTGAGATTACAGGAATGCACTACCATACCCAACTCAACCGGGACTGTTCTTAAATGATCTTCCCTGTAGTATGCAAGGAAACTTGCTTTCCTCTCAATAACCATCGGTGATTATCAGAACGGAGGACTCAGGAGAATATGGGCCATGGGAAGGGGTAACAAACTAAGTTCAGATGCAACTATCATCACCAGCCCTTTGATCTTTCTGTAGCTTTGTATTCATTCAGATGAAGAGAGACTAAAGGAAAAGCAAACTCAACGCAAGTAAGGAACAGCTATGATTCATTCAACATGCCAGGCAAGACACTATTTTCTTTCACTTGCCCTTCCTAAGGTACAGGAGACAACTCTGCAACCTGGGTAGGGTCAATGCCTTGCAGGAAGGACCCACAGCAAGAAACTCCTGAAGCCATGATTACAGAACCCCAGAAATTTAAATCTGAAGCCCAAATTGTTCCCATGTCACTATTTCCCTCTAGCAGAATCATTGTTTACTGTCCAAAGACAATTCCCTTGTCTTTTGATTTTAAAAACATTTCACTACAAGAATATTCAAAACAACACAATAAGAGAAAAGCATAACAACTCTTGTGTCCTGCATTCAGCTTCCCAAATGTGCCACCCTGTTTTGCTTGCCTTTTCGTGGTCCAGAAATATTTAAAAATATACCCTCGACATTTGAACTGAACTTCAGAATGTCTCTAACAAGTTACAATAAAAACATAACATTATCACATCTACAATTATCATTCTTTATTATCACTGGATGTCTAATTCCTCTTTAAAATTGCTGAGTGAGACAGAGAGTGTGTATGTGTGTGTGAGAGAGGCGGGGAGGTGCTAGCGACCAAATCTGGGGATGTCCACATGCTGGGTGAGCACTCTATCACTGACCTACACCTTCAGCACCACTGATATCTTAAAAATGTCTTCCTTCTAAAAATTAACTTGAATCAAGTATCAAACAAGAGCCAGGTACGGTGGTACATGCCAGTAATTCCAGCATTTGGGAGGCTGAGGCAGGAGGACTGTCTTGAGTTCAAGGCCAGCTTGGACTGCATTGAGACTTTGTCTTAAAAGAATCCAACAAGACCAACACATTATTCTAGCTGATACGCCTCAATGTTCAATAGCTCCTCCATCTCTCTTTTTTAAAATGATATCTGAATGTTAAAGAAATGAAGCCACTTTTTCTATAGAGTCAGTAAAACATATTTCTTTGTCTCCTTTACAACTCGTAAAGTACTATAGGCGACTAGGCTGGGACTCACCTTTTCTCAATGTTGTTTCAAGAATGTTCAGTGATAGTGCCCCCCCTCCACTGCACTGTCAGCAGGCATTTACCATTTAGTGGTCTTCTACTAGTAAGAGTAGAAATTGTTTCTACATTCTCTGTAATCTGAATTTCTACGAGTTATCAGATACCTTTTATATTGATGGAACTATGTAGGTTGTGATCAAGCTAACATGTTAATCAAGAACTGATGAGAGACAACTGGATATCACTCATCAACCAGAGAAACACAGCAGAAATTTTTCCTCTGGTGTGTAAGAGAGGTCAAAGATCTGGCTCTACATGGGGAGACCTGAGAATGAATGCAGTGTATTAAAAAACAGAATCCTACATACCTATTATAGTTCTAAAAGACATTTTACATACCAGCACTAATCAATGTTTCTAAACGAAGAAAATTCTAGAGTTCTTAATTTTTAACATTACTTCACCAAAACTGTCTTGTAAATCTTTCAGATTTTACTTCTTAAGTAACTTAAGAATGGTACTGATCTCTAAACCAAAGGTTCCAAACTCTGGTTGCAAAGTAAATTTTCCTGAAAAACTTTTATCATACTGAGATCTTGGTTTCACTCAATCAATTCTAATTCAGCTGGTCTATGACGGGAACCACATATACAATGTTTTTTTTTTTTTTTTTTTTTTTTTTTTTTTTTTTAAGTCTCAGAAGACCTGTAGTATGCAGCTATAATTGAGAACGACTTTTTAAACAAGAGTACAATGATAACTACTATTTACTAAATATATGTGTCTGGTGTAACTCCTAGTACTTTATTTGAATTAGTTTTATTCTCTGTTTCATAAATGAGAAAATGGAAAAGTAAAGTGAACTGCCCAAGATCATATAGTCACTTCATGGCAGACTAAAGCCTTTATCTCAGGCAGTTGGGATCCAAAACCCATCTTCTCACTACACAGTGTCCTAAGCATGAATCATGCTTGTATTTCCTACTGGAAACAAAATGATCAATGGAAAACACAAAGGATAATTTCTTCCTTCTTTGTAGTATGGTAGCATCTTATGCAAAGGTACCAACATAAACTTACTAGAAGTGTAAATAGACAACCTTCCTTTTACAAGATTCAAATTTGAGGTTTCTACACTTCAATAATTTCTCACATACTGCCTCATGCAGCAGTCACTCAATATTAAATATGAAACTGCTTTAGTTTTGAAACTTAAAGCAAAAATGTACTACAAATACACTTCTAAGAAAATGTCCTACCTATTTCTGTTCTGCCAAGTCCAATTTCATTATAAATTCTCAAGTAATTAAAATGGCAAGAATCATAATCTTCAATGTCAACATCACCCAATTTGACCCGAATTCGTTCTCCCATCTTGACATGGATCTCCCATTTGCAAATGGTACTGCTGGGATAGGTCGGCGGGTAGTTTATAGATGCAAGAGTTCCACTTTCAGGGCCTCGTACAGTGTGTCCGCATCCATCACCTTAAAAAAAAAAAAACGGGGTGATAAACTGTTTTTTCGTTTTAAACTTCTGAGTAATCAAGATTTTTAATGGTGATTTAAAAATACACATGACCTCAGATATTTATACCACCAGTATATCTTTACAGGAAATAAAATGACATAGCGCTTAGCATATCTAGTCACAATCACCAAGAAAAATCAAGTCAGGTTCAAATAATGATTACTTATATAATTTATAATGTCAAAGACCTTTACAATCTGAACATATCTTAAAACCCATCTTAGCAAAGAGTTACAAATATATAAATATATCAAAATGGCCTAATATTTAAAACAATACCAATTTAAACTATTTAAGATAACTAATATAAAAATGTGAGCAGCTTCACCTTTTTTTAACAATCATAAGCTCCTAAAATCTCCTGTGAAGCAAGATTATTTCTTAATAACAGTTAACATATTATAAAAAATTATGCAAACTATTGATCCTATTATAGACTACAAATGATTCCTCTTGAAAGTAGTTGATTTTGAAGTTTAAGTTTATATTCTATTTAAATTTGACTATTTTGTTGTTCCTTCTCCATTTTCTTCCTATAGAACAGAAAAAATAATTAAAAGTTTAATACTTTTAAAGTTTATAGCTTATTAAACTTTTAAAGTTTAATACTTTTAAAGTTTATAGCTTATTAAAGATAAAGAAAAAATTACTTTTATATGTTGGTTCTGACATTTGCTTCATTTATTTTTCAGCAAGTAAATACAAGAACTTAGATAACCAGCTTATTGTTTGTAAAAATGAAATATCTGCATCCCTCATTTTATTCACTCAGTATGCAGGAGGCATTGATTATATGTTCATTTACAAGTTTCGGCTGTTGCTACAACTGTATTATTTAGCATTCATTAACAACATGATTCAAATGAATGACATCCTTTTAATAGGATGATTAATGTATGACGATGGGATTCAAATGAATCCCTTTCTAACAGGATCGCAAATACATACTTTTAAAATAGAAGCATTTTCTTCCTTACAAGTTATTTATGATCATGTCATTGGAATAGTACAGTATTTACACAAAAACTGTATTAAATGTGATGCTGCTGAGTTTTAACCTCATTATGAACACAACTCTAAGAGAATTTTCTTGATTTATTACTTTTAAAAGTAATCACATCACTTATTAGAACAGATTAATTTTAAAAACTATACACATAAAAATTTTAACAAAAATTATACACCTAAAATTATATGCATAAAAATTATACACATAAAAATTTTACATAGTATCTAGTAAGTAGCAGATAGTAAATATTAATAGTATGAATAAGGAAATGTTATGAAAAATTAATTCCAAACTAGTCCCAACTTTAATGAAGAAACAAATCATGTAACTCTTATGGTAATACTTAGAAGTCATATCCTTTACTGACAAAGAATTTTTACCCTTGAGTTTGTATTAATATTCATCCCTGGTCTTTTTTTTTTTAATCAAGAATCGAACTCAAGACCTTGTGCTTGCCAGGCAAGTACTGATACTGCTGAGCTGTATCTCCAGCCACTCTCCTGGCCTACTTTTAAAGTGCAATACTAAATATATGTGTGCTTGCTAGAAGTGTTATAATCTTTAAAAACCACTGGATAAATGAAATAACTCAAAATATTAGTGTGTTTTCTTTAGTAAACAAAAGCTAAGGCCGCTTTTAGAGTAACTGAAATGTTTATCCATAACTTTGCAACAGCAGATTGTTTAATGCATCCCCCATAGCCAATTAGTCAACCCAAGGTCATTTTAAAATGTGCTTTATGAAACAACACAAGTAGAGTGGTTAGAGTAATTTTAGATGTCTTTATGCTATTTGACCTTGAATAAATATAATGTTTCTTGTCCTTTACACCATAAAGCATAAATTCTATATAAGTTAATAAACTGATAAAAACGGATCTTTTGCATACATGGTGATAAAAAACAATTAAAACAGAGCGGTCTTTCTTTAAGAATCTGTGTGGGGGGGTGGAGGGCAGGAAGAGTCCACAAGAAATGTGCCAAGAATGTTCTAAAATACGTGATAGAGTTCAGAGCTTCCTCGTCTTGCAAGCAAGATGATAAGAACTAAAAATCAAAGTTAAAAGTCAAGTATCTTGTCTACTGCTCTGGCCAAGTCTGAATACCCCCTATTTCAAAGAATACAGTATTTATTAAGTTCAACCTGACTAGATAAATAGCATAACTGTCACCTACTGATATGGAGTAAATACTTAGAATAATCTGGTTCAAAAGAAGGTTGTGCTTTCACTAGACCAGCTGCTTTGAATGTCTGTTATTCTGGAGAAATACATTTTATATTGTGACCCTGTAGATTTCCACATGGTTATTCTTGACCCACTAATGACCTCCCACCTAGTCTGAAAAATACAACTCACAACTCACAACTGAAAAATACAAAACTCACAACTCCAAGGCCAGAACATTAAATTCTCACATTAAGAAAAGACTTTGTCCTTTCACTTCTAAAGTAGCAATATGTTCCCAGGTTATTTTTTTACAGTTATTGACAAAAATTCTTCAAATATGACAAAATATTTAAAACTAAAAGCTGGAAAATATTCGTCAATAATAACACACAGCAGTGTTTCTCAAACAGGAGGTTGAGATCCCACAGGAGGGATTCTACCACTCACTTGGCAGTATCTAGAGACATTCTTAGTTGTCACAAATAGGGGGAGGCATGTTGCTGACACCTCATTGGAAAGGGTAAGAAGCTGCTAAAATATCTCAGTGAAGGAATAGTCTCCAGAACAAAGAATAATGGGACCTGCATGTAAATAGTGCTGAGTTTGGGAAGTGCTAACTTAGAGTCAAGGTTAGGAAATCTCAGGCTGAAAATCTGGTTTAGTTCTTGGCTCAGTCTCATTTGGCCTAAAGGGTAATGCTCTTCTACTCACTAAGGATCAATGGAGAGAAAAGTTTTCTCCCAAAGGTCAGCAGTTATGGAAAAGTTTTGTGCTCACACTTCCCAATTTTAAAATAAGTAAATAGAACACTTCATTATTCTTCAAGTTAAAGAAGAAAAATAATCCTATTAGTCTTCAAATTTCAAATGATTTTCTCCCAGCATCAAGAGCTTTTTTTAATTTATTTTAAAGAGGGTAAAATTAAACAGAACAAAACAATTAAGAAACACAGTCTTCAAGGCAAGACCACCAGAGATCTTCACTATCATATTGTCTCTTGGTTTCTTCCAAATAGTTGTCCATATCTTCACACACAGTGAATTCATACTGAACAAAACAGTACTAAACTGATCACAACAGGATGATGAAGGCATTTTAGGTCTTCAAGACCAGACAATAGGGAGGTAAAAAATGGCTGCCATAATGTCTCTCGTTCTTTTCAAAATAGCTGTCCATATCTTTACATATGTTGAAATTAAACAAAAGAAAACAGACTAACACCACTCTAGACAGACAATAATAGTATTGCCAGATTTTGTATCATGACACCATGGAATTAGCACTGGGTATCTTAGTGTCTCATTTTCTTCAGAGTATCTGTTCATTACAACATACATTATAGAATCTATTCTTGTAAACTGTTTGAAGTTCTACACATGGATGAATCTCTATACATATACCTATTCTTTCCAAACAAGATAGCAACACAAATTCCCAGAAAAACATGAAATGATAAAGACATATAAAACCTCAATACTAGGTGAACTATAGTAGTTACTATGATGTCTCTTGATATTTTCAATAGAATTGTCTATATCATCAGGCATAATATAATTGAACAGCACTACCTAGCAATGTTAATAAAAACAAAACATTGGAAACATTATAGGACTTCAAAAGCAGTTAATAATCAAACCAGAATGGGTATCCTATTACATCTTCTCATCTTCAGAGTAATTGCTCTGTTCTTAGACTTGATACTATCAAGCATACCAAATTCAAATAAAATCAGTCAAGACAAAACAGCAATCTAACATACCAGATTCAAATATGATCAGTCATAGTAAGACATCGTAGAAGTAATGCAGGGCTTCAAGTTAAGTTAACAGGAAATTAACGATAGTTACCGTAGTATATCCTATTGTTTTGGGATAGCTGTCTGTGTCCTCAAATCTAGTATGAGTAGATAGACTGGAACCGAATAAAATCAAATTAAACAGAGTGATAAGATTAATGTGGCTTTTAAATCCTGATAAACTATTAAAAATGTCCTCTGCCTTCCTTTTTTAGACAATGCATCAAGAGTTTTTAACATAGGGAGAAAAGGGTATCAATAGGATCTGAAAAATTGATTAGTGTTCGGTGCTTGGAAGAATAATCATCTGTGACAAGGAACACTACCTCCTTTTACTTACCATATTAAGGTAAGAAGCGACAAAAAATTATTACAAGTGGGAAATAACTTCCAAAATAGATGTCAAAGGTCTAGTTCTTACTCTCCCCAACCATCCCAACATGCCATCTCCTTTCCCAACCACATCTTAACCACCATCCCTGTCAACTAATCTACCTTCTGTTCCTCCATTACATGGATTCCACTCGAGTATAACTAATCATAAACCATAGAAAGCTCTTGGTGTAATTTTTGAATTGTACTTTTATTCAGTGTAGAAAAACAGAAAAAAAACACTGAAAGTTGATCTTAGTGCTCTTTGGTTCAGATGCAGATTTACCTAGGGGATTACTCATAGAACACATGTTCACTTCCCTTGAACAGTGTAAGGTTCAGATGTGTTAAGCCACATATGAATTTGGATACTTTTCTGGGAAAAAAATGCAATGATCTTTAAAACTACTTATCCCTAGAGAAAACAGAAAGAACATTACATACATTCAAATGCCAATCAAATAATACAACATGAAATGCAAACCTACTGTATTCTAGCTAAATTCCAGATTAAGTATTTTTAGGATAATGTTCTGATGATGATTACATGTGCCCCTCTTGCCACATTCATATTTTAGTAATATTATTACTAAGAAAGATGTATTACAGATTTTTAATCATATGAACTCTGTGAGGGGCAAAAATACTTCCTTTCACAGCAGCCAACACAAATGCAGGAAGCTTATAAAAGTATGTCGAAAAAGAAGAGCAATGTATCTTTCATCATAATTGCAGAGAGCCTGAATCTTGTTTTTATCACTGTGGCCTACTGAGGCTGCCAGTATCCTCTAAGTACTATTTCTGGATCTTGTAACACATCTGTGAGATCCTACAATAAAATGAAAAACAAGGTGAAATATTTAGGAATAAAAGTTCAAAAACATGAAGCTGCAACTGTTAACTACTACATGCAATTTCACTGGATACAGTGACGTTTTTGGTATATTATCTACCGCTGTGAATAATAAGGCAGAAGTTCTTTAACTGTGAGGTTTCTTAATTTGTGTTACTGCATATCTCAAACACGTAATCAAACTAGTACTTTAATTTCACTTAATGTCCCCTTTGTCAGTTTTAATTTTCCTTTTTCTGAAGTTAATTTTATCTGAAATTAAAATGCAGTTGTTCTAGTTTACTTCACATTAGCAGTCACATGGCACATCATTCTCTAGCCCTGTTATTTTTTTGTTGTGGTAGTAGTGATAAAATATACAACCCAGAAATTTTATTTTTTAAAATAGATTTTACATTTTTTAAATTTTATTTCAAAAAAGATAAAATTGAACAGAACAAAACAGAACAAAGCAGATCAGAAGAACACAATGTAAGACACACAGATTTTAAAGCAAGACAACAGGAAATCATCAATGTCTATCTTACTGTCTCTTGTTTTCTTCTGAATAGTTGTCCATATCTTCACACACAATGAACTCATACAAAACAAAATAGTATTAAACTGATCAGAACAGGATGATGAAGGCATTTTAGGCCTTCAAAACCAGATAATAGGGAAATCAACAATGGCTGCCATACTGTCTCTCATTCTCTTCAAAATAGCTGTCCATACCGTCATGTATGTTGAAATTGAACAATACAAAACAGACTGAAACCACTCTGAACAAAGAATAATAGTATTGCTGGATTTCACAGCAGGGCACTATGGAATCAGCACCGGGTACCTTAGTGTCTCTTTTTCTTCAAAGCAGCTGTTCACTTCATCATGCATTATATAATCGATTCCCATAAACTCTTTAGGAGAAGTAGTACGCATGTATGAGTCTCTACACTTATACCTATTCTTTTCTGTGTTAGAGGGGAAAACAAAACAAATTCCTAGAAAAACACAAAACAAAAATTAACAATAGCAAAGAGGCCAAAACACTGATAATCTAAACCTTCAAAACAACGTAGTAGGAGCATAACTGAGGTTGTAGATTTACATAATGTTAAGGGTTCCTCAGATCACCATACAATAACACCCAATACTGTTTCATTCCTAGGAATGTTAACTATTTTGTTCCAATAACTTATACAATTTGCAGCACGATCATCTTAGCTATACTGTGTGTTTATATAATTATATTTTTTTCTTTTGCCTCACTTTCCCTGAAATATTATTTTCCCCCTTTAAGTAGATTCTTATCCTTTCACTGTATTTATTGAGTTTTTTGTATCTTATGTACTTTTCCCATTTTTTGCACTAGGGAGACGATATGGTATATACAGATGTGAGTTTGATTTATTTCACTTATGAGTTTGGTCTCCAGTTGTATTCACTTACTTATAAGTATCTCAATGTGATCATTCTTTATAGCTGAGTAGTACTAGATTGAATAAAAAAACAACACAGTTTTTATCCATTCCTCAGCTGATGGGCATTTAGGTTGTTTCCAAGATCTGGCTATTACAAACTATGCTCCTATAAACATAGATGCACATATAACACTGTGGTATGTTGTTTTCAGTTCTTCTGGGAATATGCCCAGAAGTGGGATAGCTGGGTCAGATGGGATTTCCAAACCCAGCCTTTTGAGGAATCTCCAGACTGACCTCCACAGTGCTTGCACTAGTCTACACTCCCATCAACAGTGCAGAAGAGTTCCTTTTTCCCAGTAGCCTCTCCAGCATTTGTTGTTGGAGTTTTCTTTATCCTGGCCATCCTTCATGGAGTGAGATGGAACCTCAGTGTTGTTTAATTTGCATTTCTCTGATGACCAATGATGCTGAGCATTTTTTCATGTATTTATTTGCCATTTGTTATTTCTTCATCTGAGAACTGTGTGTTCATTTCAGATGCCTATTTTTGGAAAAGGTCTTTGAATTTTGAGAACCTGATTTTTTTTTAAATTATTTGTACGTTCTAGACAGAAGCCCTTTGTCTGAGAGACAGTTTACTAAGATTTTTTTTCCAATTTGTGGGAGTTTTTTTTTTTTTTTTTTTTCACTACGCTGGAGATTTCTTTCAACATGCAAAAACTCTTTAATAAGGGGCTGGGGATTTGGCTCAGCAGCATAAGCACCTTCTTGCAAGCACGTGGTCGTGAAATCGATCCCCAGTACCAATAAAAAAAAAAAAAAAAAGGAAAGACAAAGACAAAATACAACCTCTTTAATAGGATGTGATCCCAGTTATTGATTCTATGAAGTATTTCGTGTGCGGTTTGATTCTTGTGGTTGAGTTTGTTTGTAGTTGTATCTTTTAATCTACTTACTCCATTGATCTTCAGGTCTGTTTTTATTCTAGTACCATGCTGATTTTATTACAGCAGCTTTGTAATAACTTCAACTCAGGGATTATGACTACACGCGCCCAAGCCTCCTACCTTGTCTCTGTTGCTTAGAATTGCCTTTGCTATTCTAGGTCTCTTCTGGTTCCAGATGAATTTTAAGAATGATTCCTCTTGATCTGTGAGGTATGCTAGTGGTATCTTAATTAGGGTTGCATTAAATTTGTATAACAATTTTGGGAGAATGGCCATTTTCATAATGTTAATTCTTCCCATCCATGAACAAGGGATGTCTTTCCATTTTCTGAGGTCCTCTTCCATTTCTTTTCTCAGGGTGTTACAATTTTCCCTGAATAGATCTTTTACTTCTTTTGTTAGATTGATTCGTAAGTATTTCACATTTGTGGATGCTATTGTGAAGGATATGGCTTCTCTTATTTCTCTCTCAATGATTTCTGTTGTTAGTGTATAGGAATGCTATTGCTTTTTGAGTATTGACTTTGTATCCAGCTGCATTGCTGAATTTATTTATTATACCTAGGTGTCTTTCAATGGGGCTTTGGAGGGGTCCTCTATGTAGAGTATCAGGTCATCTACAAATAATGGTAATTTAACTTCACCTTGTCCTATCCTTTTTCCTTTTCTCTCTCTTGTCCAATTGCTCTGGCTAGTATTTCCAGCACTGTGTTGAACAGGAGTGGTGATAATGAACATTCATGGCTTGTTCTCAATTTTAAGGTAAAGGTTTTCAGCTTTTGGCCACTTAATATGATGTTGGCTGTTGGCTATGTCATAGATGGCTAAATATACATAATGACATGCATTTATCTTATAGTATTATACAGAGGAGTTTCACTGCCCTAAGTATCCCAGGATCTACCTGTATAAACCCCCCACCATGAAGATTTTTTAATTTATTTTTTCTTTTTTTTTCCATCTACAGTTCTCCTTTGTCCAGAATTTGAGAAAGAACTTGCTACATAGTCAGACTGACCTTGAACTCACTATGCAACTTAGGATGGCCTCAAACTCACAACGATTCTCCTGCCTCTGTTTCCCAAGTGCTGAGATTACATGTGTGTACCATCACACCTGTCTCATTTTTTAAGGGCTTGTTTGCTCCTTTCTTTTACTTACTTTTGCTCAGAGTACAAGCTAGACATGTATTTAGAGTCAAAAAAGTCAATGTAGCAACTTTTAGGCAAGTAAATTTGCTCCTATCTTCCGTGTTTTTTAAGCCAAAATTCACCTCTGTACATGCAGTAATTCATAAAATTTAATAACAGGAAGGAAAGCAATATATAAATCCTCAACCCTTACCAAGCACACACACCACCTATCTAGCTCATAATGATTAAACAAAGTGGAGTCATACAACAAACTGAAATGCCCTATTTGCCACTATGACCCTGAGAAGGCTATCTATCCCTGCTAAGTCTGGATTTTGCCATCTGTAAAACTGAGACACTAACAATTCAAACTTCAAACAGTAAGAATTAAACAAAATACTATATGAAAACAACTGATAGCAAGAGCCTAAGTCTTATTAATATGATCAACAAATATATATATAGGCACTATTCCCATAATGTTACAACACCACCACTAAAAGGAGACCTGAGAAGCTTGTCAATGTATGCTGATCCAGTTTCATCTGGCTGCAACGTGACTAAAGCTAAACAACCTATTTTATAAAATTTATCTCCACTCTAAAGTTAACATCTAACGCCTTATAAATAACAGAAATTTATGACAAAGTAATTGCTACTAGTTACCTCAGCTCCAATTCAGTATCTCATTCTCAGAGCCACAAACTCTGAGACAAAGCTGTAAGATTTACTTTAGCCATTTTAGAAATCATTCTCACTTCTGCATATCACATCTCACTTGGGCCAGGCACTCAGCCATGCAGCTCTTACAGCCACTGTATACTTTCTGGGAACCTGACTTCTCTACTTCTCTATTAAGATCACCTTGGCCTCATTTCTCTTCCTACCCATCCTGGATCTCATGCCCATTCCAACTACCTACATTCTACCTAATATTTCTGCTTCCTAGGTACTGTGTACCACTTGAGCATCTGCCTAGGAAACTCTCCATCTAGATTTAACAATGATCTCTCTCTGCAAAGGAACTGAGTAAACACAAAACAAAAATCACAAGACCCCCAGATAGGTATCGTTAGAAAGTAACAGGTTCCGGTCTCAGGTGGGCCACTCAGTGTTCTCTTAGTTAATGGCTCATAAAGTGAAGCCAACATTATTTTTATCAAGGACTAATTCAAGGTTTTCAGGTCTTCATCTCCACTTCCACAGATTGTAGCAAGTACAGGTATGTCAGAAAATGTTTTTAAAACTTGGAAACAGTAACAAAGTTCAAATATCACTCAGGGCAAAAGCCACCCAAAGATTATAGGGCAAATCTATTTGTCCAACTTGCTATTTATCACTGATTAAAGACCCCAATATTGGTTACATGCTAAATCATAGATTACTATCTCATAGAGATTCATACAATTTCTGTAGAGTTGAAAAACCAACCAAAATTACAGTTTCCACCTTGATGGCCATGAATTAGTTCTGGCCACCTAACCTAGTAGTCATATCATAACACCTATAAACACATACTTTTTCTCCCGTGGTCTAGTTTTACCATTTTACTGATTCCTTCTTTAATGAAACAGCTGATATCTGATCTGCCAATTTTATATTTGCTTGACAGTTATAACTGTTCTTTTTTGGCAAATTATACCCTATAATGGAGGCATTTAGTAGATCATTCAATTTGTACTTTAATAAACTTTAACAATAACAGCAGCAATTAAAAAATCACATGTGGCTGGGGATATAGCTCAGCAGTGTGTTCAAGAATGCACAAGGTTCTGGGTTCAAGCCCCAGTACTGAAGCACACACACACCCCTTATTCTTGTATCTGGTAGCCTCTGTCATCTGCCATCTTTCTCACTTTGCTTTACTTTTACAAAGACTGTTCTAGTTGCCTACACTTTGTTTTACTTCTTTGCCTCTCATTCTAACTTCAGTGTACTACAGTTTAGCTCAGGACTACCATGAGTTCAGTGGTGACTTCCAAACAGATAATCTTCGAATCCTATCATCTGGAACCTATGGATATCATCTTACACTTGGAAATCTGCTATTTGCTGATCATAATAGGTTAAAATGATATATTGGTTAGGTTAGTCCATAATCAAATGATTGATATTTTGGCAACAGGAGACAAATATGGACACAGATATTGGAAAAACTCATGTAAGCACAGAAGCAAAGATTAGATTGATAAATCCACAGGAAATGTAAGGAATGCATGCACCAGGTGCTAGGAAGAGGCAAGTAAAGATCCTCCCCTAACCTTCAGAGAAAGAGCAAACCCAGCTGACATTTCAACATCAGAATTCTAGCCTCCCTGTGAAACGAGAAACTTTT